CAAGAGTGGCAGGCGTGGACGGGCGCTGAAGCCTTGCCTGCTCTTGGCCATTGCACTGCGTATTAACCAAGCAGGGGATCTGCTCTCGGGCGCTGGCACAAGGTGCGCCTGCTGGGGAGGCAGTCTCCAGCTATGAGGAGGGGCAGGCAGCCAGGCGGTTAGTTTTAAACTACCACGGCTTAAATTCCCCAAGCTCAGGAGTCGGAGCCATCTGATCGCTCCTATTCCTTAAACTTCACAGGGCGTTTAACCATGAGGGTACGGGAGCACTGGAGGGCACCGGGGAGGCTTCTGAAGGCAGAATGCAGTGCAGTTACTGGATTTTAGCTGTATGCTTCCTACAACAGGCAAAATCTTAGCTAGACCCTCATAGCACTCATACATGCCACTCAAGCAGTCTGACCAGAGCATCTTGGTCCTCTGGTTAATGTAGGCAGCTCTTGGTCCTCAGTTCCACAACAGCTCACAGATCCACCTGGAAGCAGTGCTGTTGGTCTCACACCACTTGGAGAAAAGTAGATGCCTGCTTTTGAGTATGTCATTGTGCCTCTGCGACATATCTCCGCAAAGCACTTGCGGAGGGGAGGAAGAGACTCTAACACACTGATGCAAAAACCCCAGTGTCTTTTACACTTTGTTGTTGTTGTCGTTACAGAGCTTATTATAACCAGCCCAAGCCCTAGCAGATTACAGATGATGTCATTCAAACTTTTATACATGCTACAGTAATGTAATTCAAAACCTCTGCTTCGGAGTGGGAAAGACCAGAGGAAAATTCACAAATCTCGAGGAGAATTCACCATTCAAAGAGGTGTTTAGCATTTCTCTCTAAGGAAATACTAAGTTATAGATCCACTAGATGGCAACTGGACGTACATACACAGCCACACCTGACAGGTTAACATTATGGTGTTATGCTGTCTTTGTGAGGTGTCAGGGCTAGACCCTTTTGGAAGCAACTTGTTCCTCTCTGCTCAAGCACTCTGTACTTTAGATCTCATTTTGTTTCCTGCAGCAGCTACTGGAAAGCTTTGGAAGTGTGATTTTTAGCATGCAGCATTCAGCTATGTAAAGGCAGCTGGTCAGGGTTTCTATAGTTTTTAAATACAATCACATATAAAATATTGATGTTTATTTGTCTGGGTTTGGTTTTTTTTTTTAAAATTCTGCAAGAGGCAGGGTGGTCCTATGATCAACTCAATGCATTTGTGCTCCAAAAACGTGGTATCATTTGTACCATACCCTTCCTCATGAAATTGTGTTCAAAATGTTGCACGCATTCTTTGCATCTTGCATTTTTGCAGCGGCCGTAATTATTTCTACCTCATTTTATCTTGTCTGGGAAATTCAGATTTCAAGTTCTTCAGAGCAGGCTTGTTTTTTTCTGAGTTGCTTATATTTTGCTTAGCACAGGGAGACTTGCATATGCATACAGACCTATATGATTTGAATGATGAATAACTACCAAACAAGAACAATTTGAGGAAATGTACTTTTTCTAACTCTTCAGACCTTTCCTCTAACACCGATAAAGACCTTTTTCTGAGCAACATGAGCATGAATGAAACAGAACAGTCTAAGAAAAAGGCCTTACATTAGAGCCCATCCATCACTCTCCCCCTGCTTCCCTGCCCAACTTCCAAAAAATGCAGGAAATTGGGATGAAAAAGTGCAAGAAACAAGGTAAGCAGTGAAAACTCCTGAAAGCGTAAAACAAATTGGCAGGCAAAGAAGTCAAATTTTAGGATGGGCAACTCACATATGCTAGAAAGTCTATGAAAGAAGCACCCCATCACTTGGTCAGGAAGCAAAGCCCTCAGTCATTTGCTCAATTAGCTGACTCACTTCTCCCCTGCGGTAGTATCGCGTATTCAGACTTCAGCCATACTTCTGGGACAAACCAGTTCGTTCTTTCCCCAAAAGTTCCTAACAGCTTATTTCAGACTCTCTTCAGATACTGCAATTCTGTCATTCACAGGAGCTCCCTCATTTCTACTGAAACGAAAACTCTACAGTATCCTCAAATTTTGGACACCCTGTACCCTTCCATACAGGGAAAATAATTCCCTGACTAAAACACCTTGAGGCTATGAGACAAGGTTTTTACTGTCTTCAGCTGGAATGGGCCAGTGTAAAGGACATGCTATTTCTTTGCTGCTTTTACACTAACTTCGTTTGAGCCAGACTCTGTATATGATTCAGTCCATGAAGCTGGGATCACTTCAGTATAGAGACAACAGATACATCAGAATTCAGTTAACACAGCTGCAACCTGGGACTTTGGGAGAGGCTATGAGCGTGGCAATGAAACTGGACTAGATAAGATATGCAACTCCAAGCTTGTGCATTAATGTTCGGGGACTTACAGGATTCCTGAGTGTAGTCTTTGGACATTTAAGCAGGTAAAAGTAGAGTTAACGATTCCCTTTGGTCCTTCTGTTTCTGTTTCAGCAGGGTCCTCTGAGTACTCCATTCTCTACACAAAATTGCTCTAACAGTTCATTAATTGTGTGCATGCAAGAAAAACTTACAAGGGAAAGGAGAGAAGGAATAAATTCCACATTTGGGTCTGAAACTGGGTATTTCAATGCAAGAGCGAGTGCAGGTGCTATGTAGTCACACACTAGAGCTCCCATTCTCTCTGCCTGGAGAGAGTGAAACCCATTACATTATTAGTTAGCACATGTTAACGAAAGCCTGGGTCTGTGCTCACTCTTAGCTCTCACAGAAGTTAGAGCTGTAACTGATCACCAGGTTCACTGATCACCAGGGAATTCTTCTTCCTTAGCTCCCCTTCTTATCACATATTCATTTTTCTTACTAGCAGCTGCTGTAGGAGCTTACGGTTATGAAAAGAAATCACCTCTCTCTGGAAGCTGGGCCGCTGATGTCTGTACGGAGCCACTTTGTATGCAGTGAGAGGTGACACAGAAAGCAGAGCCCTGGTGTGGCAGGTTCCCTCTTTTCCGCACACAGCGGATCACAGATCTTCCTGCTGGATCTACTGGGCAGAAACCAGCAGGGGACCAGAAGAACTGGTCCACTTCCTGAAGAGCTCTGGGAAGCCCCACAGTGACCCCATGTCCAAAGACACACTCTGTGATCTCCACACATCCTTCTACCTCCCAGACTTTGCTCCTGTGCTATATATAGGCTACGCTTCATCTCCTTAAATACATCTATCACCAGACTGAGTTATGGCATTGTGCCACTTTTGTGGCTCACCTCCTCCTCCACTCACGCTTCCCCAGTCTGTCACCCCACCTCTACTCAAAAGAACTGAAGTTAGACTCAGCTCTGTAAGGAAACCCCTGAGCTTACCTGCCCTGATGCAGAGGTCTGCTCATGAGGACGAGCTGTATCCAAACCATTCCAGCGTAGGCTCAAGTCCTCTCTCCAAGTTCAGAGCTCTTGCTCATGAACTCAAAGCAAAAATCTTGTCTTCTCTGAGCAATTAAATTCGTAGTGCCACATGGGGGAGCTTGTGCTGTGACCAAAGCTCATCACTTCCAGACCAAGAGAAAAGGACAGCTCAGCAGCGCTAAGGACTTCAGCCACTGGGAACTATTCTGGAAAGGCTGATTGAAAATCGTGACATATGCATACATAGTGCATACACACTAGAAGAAGATGTTCCTTTTCAAAATGATCTTAGGTGACAGTCATTGATTTTGCCTTGAAAAAGCAGCCAAAGCCATAACTCATGAGTATCTCATAACCTTAGAAAGTTCCAGTTGCCCTTAGCCTGGTAGATCAAATAAAATGAAAACGACTGTATTTTAAAGGCATAAGCAAAGCAAATGAGTAATGGGGATCAATTCCAGCCATCCACTAAGATGACTTATATACACAACAACCAGCCGTGAGTTAAATTTACTCCTTGCTGAGCCATGTCTGGCTGCGAAGCCATCTTGACAGCTGAAGTAAAAGCAGGTGAACAAGCAAGCCAAAAGGCAGGGAACCTGTCTCATCATATTTGGCAAATAGATGGACCTGAAGGCTGCTTGGAAACCCTTAATATCACGACCATGCCTTAGAGACGAAAAGAGTTAAAGCTCACCTCCCAAGTCATTCAGAAAATAAGCAATCTGGTAGCCTGACGGTATGAAAACAGTTGGATTTTTTTCCCCTAAAACCAAAGAAATGGTTTGAAAGCAGTTTGTAAGTACGGGGAAGGTGACTGGCCTCTGGACTGGCCATCTGGAAAGGGAAGACAGACGGAGACAGCCCAGCCTCGAGCCGCACCCTTCAACCACCCCGTAGGGCAGTCAAAGGCCCCCCCCCAAAGTATTATACCGTCTTGTATGCAAAGCATCTCGCGGTGTGGGTGACAGATGTCAAAGCAAGCAAAGAACAGAAAGGATGCTGCGAGGCCGGGCTCACCAGCACCACAGTTCACGTTCCCTTGGCGCCCCGTTGGCGGCGGGGCGGGGAGCGGAGAACGTGCGAGGGGAGGCAAGGCCGCCCGGGAGCGCGGCGGGGCCGC